TATATAATATGCTGAACTTCCCGTGTGCCCATGCCCTAGACAATATCAATCAATGTATGTTAATCTCCAATTCCTTTGGCAAAAATCGAAATAAATATATTTTCAGCCATGACTTCCTAAATAATATTTTCCCTGTGATCGATAATGATATCAAAGCCATTATCATTACAACTAATGTAACTTGTACTTAAAATAAGTAATTGTTGCCGTTTTCTCATTGGTTTTCTTACCTGGGTGTTGCAACGTTTCTCATAACAGCTCAGAAACATTACTTTTAGTGCTAGTTTATTTTGGTTTTACTTTAATCAAGGGTTACTGAAAATAGAGTGCATCGTTCACTGAGTCATCAGATCACTCGAAAATGATAATAATATAGGATCTTCTTCCGTGACATCGCTATACTATTTTAAGATAAAGAGAAGGGATATGCAAGCAGGTATATGTAATACTGTGCAAAATTACGTTTTATTATTACAAATGTAACTACAAATGTAATTTTTAAAATCGTTTCTCTTTAAGTGCAAACAACGTCTCTACATGATGTTATATGTGATGTTGGAAATAATAAAAAAAAAACCTAAATGCTTGTAAATGTAATAGAGGCGTAAATCATTTGTTTCCATGAAAGACCCATACGATGGACCAATGCTTACTTGTTATACGTATTGCATTCGTTCTAAATTATCCATTATCTTTGTATGATTGTTTTATGAGGGGTTGTCCATCCTATAAATAGCTTAAGTCATTCTATAACGTCCTTTGCTGATGATAGGGCCTCTCAAGGGAACTTTAATGATGCAACATCAAAGGAAAGAATTTAGAGGGAAGTATATTGAGGGTTAAATATAAACCACTCTATCATGTCATGTCATATTTGCTTGTTCTGTTTTAGTCGAATATACGTGCCATGATCACAAATAACTATCAAATAAATTCAATCGATGCATTTGCAACCAGTGGTTCGCATATGCAAAAACATCCAAAATGTCATCAAATTACAGATTGAGGCAATGTATATGGAAATAGGAATACAAATATAATCCTTTTTATTTTGGATTAATCACCATATAAAGAGAGCAATCTTTGATCTTAACTGCCTTAACACCACTTACATACGCTGGAAGGACAAGGGCAGTTGAGGTTAATCATCTCCCTTTTTAACCGATTGTTGTTTCCGGAACATGCAGAAGTTTTATACCAGATAACGATCTAGGTTGTTTTCAGACACGGTATACAGTGGGCGATTTATTAGCATTAAGTGGATAAGTACCTCTCCAATATCTCCTTCTGAACCCGATCGGATTGCAAAGTAATCAGAGATTTTGGGAGGATGAACAATTTTATGTGATGCAGGAAATTTCCCATAGAACATTAAAGAAAAGATTACGTTGGATGGTTTACCGTCAGTTTCCAAGCTCCACTATGCAGAGTTGCATGTGTGTCTTCTCTTCAGAACAAATCACCGACTTTTCAGGGTATTCATTTTCATTAAATACCGACAATCAATACTTGTATGGCCATGGTGGGATTACCTGCTTTCTCTTATAACTAAGCTTCTTTAGGCGGTTGAGACCTACGGCAACTGTTGCACTTAGAAATGAATCTTTTATCTCTCTTTGAACAAAACTGAGTGGTGGCATGCACAAAATATGTTTACCAGAGGATATGATTGGCTGAAAGAGTATACTTTGAAGTAAACTGTTTTTAAAGATCTCGTTAAGGGCAAAAGATTTCATAGCATCATTTAAATCCTTCTGTGGAGATAAAACGGATCCCGATGTCTTACAAATATGTTCATGATCTCCAGGGTATTCTTTTTGGAGATACATCATGCAGCTGCACTCATTAAATACCAGCTTTAAGAGATCATTTGTCCAACACACGTCAATTGATCAGTGCGACTCACGTGTCTGGAGACCTTAAGCCTGCATATCACGAAACCTTTCAGTCTCCAAAGCCAAAGGAATAAGTGACATACATAGTATGTCAGTGGAAAGTAACCTCCTTAGTATGGACTGTATTAGCCAGGTCTAATATTTCCTAGGGAAATCTCGATACCCCAACTTTAAAATGTTTTTGACATTTGTACATAACTATTGTTCACAGAGATTGATGGTCTATTCAGTAATTTATATAAGTAAATGTTTTCTGTTTTGCAGTATATCGATGTTTTGAGTAATTCTGACTAAGGAGGGCGTAGCAAAGGTGTTTTGCATATTAATGTCCCAATATCATTTAGCAACATTATTCCATTATTCCAGACAAAAAGATATAAAAATTACTCTACATGATAAAAAATAATTTGGGCATTTTTAGTTTAGATGTGGATTTGATGGTTAAAATTTAAGGATAACAACATTTATATACAATGCATTCTAATGAAAGCGTGAGGTTATTATTTTTGTGCTACATCATCGGGAAAAATGACTACTTTATTGAGCAAGGGATAAAAATAAAAGACGCTTACTCTTCTGGATCGCCGTCTTGTACTTTTTCAGGAGTTTCTGTGTAAATCTTCCTTTTGTTCGTATGGACATTCAGAAACAACGATGTCTACAAGTGAATTTAGATTCTCGCTTTCTTCTGAGCGTTAAACTGTCTATATTATATTGTCTATGCATTTCCATTCAAGTTAGCGGTATTTCATTTACACAAAACATATTTCAGATAGTAATCTTATTTATGTTTTGTTTCCTCGTCGATTCGACCAGTATTATACAATGCTGAGAACGGAAACAATCTGTCGGTCTCAGCATTACACACGCAAATTCCACATTCATTGTATTCATACAGACAGTTTCTTATTTTGTCTTCAAATTGTTACTTGTACGAACATTATGCATTGATTTGACTCGCTATACTTGTCTGATTGATGGAATCGGGGAACATTCAGGAAATACACAGAGCTGACCGGAACTAGTATTCTCAAGTATGGCGATCAATTTTCTGCAAACTAAAGCAAACTGAGATAAAGCGACCTTACGTTTGCAACGCTTTGTTTATATTTCATCAAATGATTATGATTATATATTCTTAAAGGATAATCAACACAGAAAGGTTCATATAGGCCAACGAAGTTGAATTAAAAGCTAAAACAGGACCAAAGTCAAACAAATTAAAACGTAAAAGACCAAATCGCAAACAGCTTGAGATTAATATTAAACAAGTTATATTCTTTGGAAAATAGCACATTTAGGATGAAAGTCAATATAGATAGATATACGATAGCAGGTGGTAGACGATGTCGGTTAACTATAAGTCCACGAGGTTTGCTGTTACCTGTTTCTCACGCTTTAATTCACTTGAATAGTGACACGCTTTAGAAAAAACAAAATTATCTTATATAAGAAAACTACGGAATGTATCTAATTATGGAGCTGCTGCAGCTCCCTGTCTTGATTTTGACTTTCTTTTGATTTTTTGGATTTGTCTTAGTCGCTACCTAGGCTTAAAAATTTTAGCATCACTGACTAGGCAAAGATAGACGAAATATATGTATGATTCAGTTTAATTCCTTGTTTGGCTCTACTGTATTATGAAAAGATGCAATTCACTTGTACGTCTCTTGTACAATTTTATATCAGCAAACGGGAACATAAAACATGCCCAAATATTGTAAATAAGCCCCCGTTTAGGATTTGTGGGGGTATAAATTACCCTAAATTGCTCGACAGTGCCGCTCTATAGACTGCAATGAAAATTACTGTAAAGTTTTTAAGCAATTTTTTACTTGAATCCATCGAAATTTGATGCAATCCCTATTTTTTTCGTTCATCGTGTGCGCGGTTCAGAGTATACGCAGGTCTTTTTTGTCTTTTAAATCATCAAAAAATGAGGAAAAGAACTTGGTTTACAGAATAATTCAGCATAGAAAATAATGGAATAACGGGGTTGTTGGATCTTTCCATGAATGTCTAAAAATTGTTTCTTTCAGTTTAAAAAAAAAAAAAAAATCTTGTTCTAGTTTTCACTACTTTAGGCTCCTACTATCACTGACGAGCCTAAGAGAGATGAATCAATTTCATAAACTCCATAATTCAGTTAAATTAATTAAGAAGTATATACTAAATTTGTATTGAAGATGCTATCATCCACTCGTGTAGGTCTTTGTTTTTTTTGTTGTTTTTTGTTTGTTTTTGTTTTGTCATTTTATTATTGCAATCCTTAAATCGAGATGTAATCTTTATATGGCAGTGACATGAGCAGGACATTAATTTAATCATATAATTACTTAGTTATAATCTATGGTAGGTTCGTATGATTTCCACAAATGTCATTGCAATACAGTTCAACGCTTAAATGTTTTTTTTTTTCTCCATATAAACCACATTATTGCAAAGATAACGATAAGGGAACTTTAGGAGCAAATTTAAAACAGCACCACATCGATATTGTTCTTGTTTCGAATTAAACCATAAAAAACAATTTTGAAGAAACTGTGTTCATGTACCGAAGAAGTTAGCCTGTAAGTCTCTCTGTAACCGACAATCGATCAAGAATTATCATATGTCATATTATGTACGAACTGTGATTTTATATATCTAAGCTCGCATTAATCCAAAATTAGCGCATCTGACATTTTTCTTTACTCGGTAGATCCCCACTATACTCGGATAGGAAACGATCCCGTCATCTGACGCCTTGATTCGCCTACAAGAAACTTCATCGGTCATGTCTATACCAATTAATCACGTAGCCATAATTCGAGATGGATTCTCCTGATTTTATGCCCGGAAGTGTATTCTGAGTGGTTTTGTGACATTCATATCAGTAACTGTTATCCCCAAGTGTCGTATAATATGACAATAATCACTCGCCATCACTATATCATTGGATATACAATTTATCAAATGTGTTTTCTCTGTTTATATCTTCCAGAATCATCATGTAAATTAACTGAATGGACGACGACTGTTGCCTAGTGGGAAGATATAACTTTGCTTAGACGGCGCAGTAGACTACAGCGCCTGTACAATAATCCACTAAGAGGCCAAGTAAGCATGGTGCAGCTGTTTTATTATGAGACTCGAGGCAAATGTTGCCGCAAGGTATTTAATTATGAGGGTTATCCCACCAAGGTCATGTTGTTTCCGTACGAGGGTTGGGCTCAACCAGCCCTCGTGTCTTACTGGCTTCTCAAAACCTATTGGTGGAGTAGAACGCGCTGCAAGATTGTTGAAGTCTCAGGAGTTAAAAAACGCACTACCAAGGGCAAAATGGCAGACAAAGGTAGCGGTGCCATGACAATTACGGGAAAATTCAAAGACACTGTATGTCCTGATTTTAGGATGACGTTGACGACGAATATAAGCAACGCCGACTTCCAGCTCGGGTACTGCGTCACTGGAACGCTTGAAAGAGGGGACAAGAAAAGGGCAGATCTTCAACTTACACATTTTGCTATGGTAAAGAGGAAAGGTTACTGAAATTATCTCTGTGCGTTTCCATCTTGCGAAAAATCTAACAAAGTTATTTTTCCATTCTCTTCCAAACTGGGCGCAGCATGAAAATGATATACAACTTGTCCCCTAATGAAGATGGACGCCCATTCTCTTGTTCCATTCCAGCGCAATAGCTATACGTCGTCATTCCGTGTTGTGCCAATGCAGTGTGTCCGCGAGCCATAAGTAGTAAATTAACACTTTCTGCATTGCCGGAAGAGTACTTGCAAGTACTTTCCGGAATTAAAAAAAACTCCTCCCGGGGGAGCGTTTTCTGTAGATTATTATGTTTATCTCTTTGTATTTTTAAGTTGTGAGTAATAGCACAACGAAACGATTTTAAATGTTACGTTATTTAGAAAAATATTCGTTAAATTAGAAGCCTTTTAAAGTATATTCTTTTTGTTGTTACGTCGTTGTGCCAAGTAGTGAATTTGTTTTTAATGTTTTATATATATAAATAGATATATATATATTGTTAGAAAAAACGCTTGATCATATTTATCAAAGGAAAATACAACAACTTTAACATATCTTCACATTATTGAAAGACGTCCAACTCATCACTTTTGTCATAATAAATACTGACATGTCGATCGTTAACCGTGTTTATATAAAATAAATTCATGAGAGAGAAACCGTTTATTTTGTCATGTGCTTAAAATGAACTGCATTTAATGTTCATATTTACCAAATTGTTAGGACATCTCCTGCAATAAAATTGTCGTTTACAGCGCGAAACACCGTTCGATGTTGTGATAGACGATATTAATTGCGTCATATGGAACCTGATGGTCATATGGACAATGTAACATCGCGCCTTGTTCAGCGATGGATCGAAGTTTGCATCAACCGCCAACGTGGGCATATATGTGTATGAGGAATGCGTCTCATCCGACATTATAGCTTCTCCAAAGCCTGTCTCTCCTGAGGCTTGTTGAGATAAAGTATGGACTTCTTACGTTCATACACCAAAACATGCCAACCACTGCAGTGACATGAAAGTACAGAAAAAACATTATGGATTAGAAAACGGATATTGAGAAGAATTCCAGCCGTTTATAATGACAGTGATATGTGAGATTTAGTGCGTTAAATGTATTTGCATGTATATTGACGAAAGCCAGGTAACCCCCCTTAGGTATTCCAATATCATGAAGTTAAAGCACCTACGGCTCGATTATGTAATAATGTCAGATTTACTAAATTGCCTGTTAGTACCTTGACCCGCTGTTACCACACTGGATCCCGATTTCTTAAAAAAATCCCGCATATTTGTGTCTTTATGGTAAAATAAAACTCCTTTAGAATTGAAAAAAAATCAATGCATGATTTCCTTGATTTTAGCAGTGCTATGAACATAATTGTTTTATCGACTACAACACAAGCTTTTATATGGAGGCACTGTAACATCATAAATACAGTAACTACGAATTTTGGTGTTTTGAGTGTGAGCATTTGTGTTTCTCTTTTAGGAACTTGATGTACGATGTTAAATTACAACACTCTTGCTCGTGTAAGTGTTTAAAGCTAAATGCATGTACTTTCTCAAGATGGAAGCCAACCTTGATAGTTCAAATATATTTGGCTATACCTGAAGACCCGTATCAGTTTCCCTGCAACCTACACTCATTTATTTAGCCTAACCATCATTCATGCAGTTTTCCCATTATCTATACAACACTTCCCAAATGATATCACATCCTATCAATCAGCAACCATGTTGCCTCGCAAATTAAAACCACGAATGTTGTTGTCCTACATTCAATACAGCACTATCGCGGGTATCCCATATCCAATTAACCACAAACTACGTTGTCCCGCAACCCATACACCACCAACTCAGTTGTCCTAACCCATAACCACTTTCATTTTTCCCAATAGCAAGCCAATAACTTAGATGTTATAACATTTTCTGTCATATTCGGTTTCAGTCACTGCCTTAGAACACGGTAGGATAAGTGAGACTCCTGTGTGCATTATTAATGGATATGTTTCCGTTTATATCGCTTACCAAATAAGGATACTGGCAGATAAGTATGGTAAGACTAAAGTTTTAGAGTGATCAAAGTAAAAGATATTGCATGTTATTATATGAATGAGGATTGTGATTTGTAAAGGACGAAATAGATGCGAAATGAAGGAATCGTAAATGAAATGTCATATTGAGAGAGATATATACATGTATATGTAAATTGTACACATAGAAAATTAAATGGCAGATATGTAATCAACTGTTTGTGCTATTCTGTATGTGTATCTGTATGTATGTAGTACATGTGCTTTCAAATTTAAGTACTGAAAAAAATTCGTGGTAAGAGATTAAAGATAAAGTTACAAATTTCAACCTGATTATTCTTTTTCCTGTTGTAACCTTTTTTCTCATACCTATCACCTTAATTACTATTCATATCAAGTCACCGGCCGACCCTTTGGTTCTTTCTGTGTTCTCGTACAATATAAGAAGTGTAAACTTGTTTCGCACTTGTAAAAAAATAAAACAACTCGCTGATTGCTATTCATATTTAATTATAATGAAAATGCTATCATGAAAGTATCTCTACAATAGTATTAGTTTTAAGCAAATACCATCGAAAACACATTCAAAGAGTGAATACCGCACCAGAGCTATAGCTAGGGAGTGCAATGATACACAAATGAAACTTGTTGAAAATTAAATGTGGATATGTCATTCGTATCCGAGCTTTTGTTGATGCAATCTCGATGTCAACCGCCCAAGCAGTTTAATTTACATTTAAATAGACTTCATTAACCTATAAATTCCTAGTGTGCCTGTAGTTACATTACCATGTCACATTTACATAAATAGTATTTCAATTCCTTTCTTAATGTGCAAACATATGAAAATGAAACATATGTTTATAACATGTATGCAAAATGCAGAAATCCGTTTGACATTCTAATCTTGATACACGTGAATCAATGCCCTTTTTAATTGCTATAATAACAAAGCATGCAAGTATTTCTCATACAAATTATAATAGTATTCATTAGTTTCTTTAAGCATACATTGAACTTTATTGACAAAGTTAAGATAAACAATATACATTGTTTCTTATAATTTTTTTGTTGAAGAACCCGTGAACTCATAAATCATTCGCAGGTGTCAAATGCACTCGACACGGCTCATACCGGAACGGTTAACAGTAAGTGACGTTCCGAAATGATATGCATATTAATTAAAGAGCTAACATGGATATGTAGAACATTTCAACGTCTACATTTGAACCGAGCATATGAAACATGTTCCAGTAAAATGTTTAAGTAGATAATAAGTTTTCACATTTTAATGTTTAGATGCCACCATACACTTGAAAATGCTTAAAGTCAAGTTAATATTGATTTTGGGACACTTGATGATTTAAGAATGTATTGCAGAAATGTGATAATTGCATCGGGGAAGGACTGTTTATTAATGTACATAAAAGACATGTTGTGGCACTGAATAACGATATCTTGTATAACAATACAAAGGTTATTCTGACTTCGAGTAAATTTCTTTTAGAATGATATCATTGTTTTCTTTAAGTTGATTTTTCGTCGATAGACAGTATATCTTTATTTTCCTTGGCGCAAACACAAATTAGAACACGTCTCAAAAACGGTAATCAGGTCAACAACAACCTTAACAGAAAATGTGAAATTCATTCTGTGTTGTGGTATTTTTCATGTCTTGTAATCTCTGTGAAAATGGCAGCGCTGAGCAATTTGCAAAAACAAATCTTGTGGCGACACTTTGCTATAGGATAACAGGAAATAATTCATTTATATCTCTTTTCGTTTCTGTCGGTTAATATATCTAAAGACAGTGATTCTCTTTGTGAATAATCATGAGTTCTGAGATAGCTCCTGGTATTGCCATTATGTAAATGAAATGACCGTACTAGCCGATAACTCGGCCGCAGGAGGCTATATCTAAAACCTAGAGACTGTAAAGCGCTTGAGTGCTGAACGAAGAGTAGGAAGTTCACTTAAAACCAATATGAACGAATACTTTATCTTTAACACAGCGAACATATTGCTTCGAAAGTAATAAATGCCTACTTCGAAGCACTGGATGTAGCAGGCTTTTGACGCAAAGCAGTAAAAGCTGTGTACAATTTCGAAAGATAATTGAGTCTCGGTATATCCTAAGAAACAATATAAAAGAAATATAAACGAGACTCGTATACAATTACCGAAGTTCTGAAATAGACAGCCGAAACAATAGTAACCTTTATTATTGTATATGATAGAACCATTTACCTTAAACAACATATGTATTTGCTGTAAAGAAATAAATGCCCGCTTTGGAAACAAATTGTGCCAAACAGCCGTTAATCTTAATTCCTGTATATGAATGTGAAATCAATAAGAGAAACGCGGCATGGGGAATTATTTCTAGATTATATTTAAGACCTAATAGTTATCAGTTATTAGAACCCCATCCCCAGTTATTTGTTATCTTAAAAGATATTTTGAATGAAACGTTACCATTATCATTTATTTATTAAGATGTTAAGATATCAAAACCTACCTTAATATGTACAGAACACGTCAATTATTATAACAAAACTAAGAGCATTTAAGTTCTGATGGAGGCGAAGCTAAGTGCTTTTGAAATGCAAAAATGTGTCACAAGCCATTCAGCCATGGCATTCGTCACGATGTCTTATCACCATAAAATTATAAATCCCGAGACATCATAACGTGTAATTGATTGCGAAAATTTCTTTGTCTCTGCTAGAGATTTCACAATATTAGTACATTAATCGTCCTTCTAGAAAGTCCTACTGCTGAGAACTCGTTCTGGACTAGTGAAGAAAGTAGTATCATCGGTCATCTTCAGATGATGAAAACTTGATCAAAATTAACTTGTTGTTTCATTTACTTTCGAATTTTATGTGAAAAAAACATCAGTTATTCACACCTTGATATAATCAACAGAAAAATGCTATTTCTTTCATAATGACATATGTATAAAG